GAGATGCGCTGTCCTGAGTTTTTTGCAATCGGTTAGGAAACCATGTTGGGGTTTAATTACCCAGGACCTCCACACGAAGAGCATTTGGCTGATTGTTGTGCCTATATAGCGCATCAGAGTGCTATAGGGGGAAAGGGATGGTCTAGAGCATTGGAGCACGGTGGGGTGACTCCTGTTTTTTACTCGAGTTAACATACCTTGCTCCAATGAATTGTTACACCCGATCGTACTACCTGGGTGAACATTTCTCATAGGCTAGGTTCAATTAAATTGCTTGCTTGCTTGCTTGACAAAAGTAGTTTACCTTGCTCTGGCATTGGAAAATGATTACATGCTTAAAGCGTGTTTAAATGATCGAAAAAGGTTTACTATTTCTCCGAAAAACTTCTTTAGTATTTGTGAAGGGTTCAACAAATGTTATCAAAGACTTTGCATCCAAGATTTGAGGTAATTTTTTTCATATTTTTGGTTATATTAAGTATAAATATATGTGAGGAAACCTTAAATTATAATTCCTACCTAAAAATTCCTAGACATGTCTAAATTGAGAGTAGTTATTCAATGCGCCATCTCCCCTCATATAAATAGGATAGATGGCTCACGTATTGAGAGCAGAGATGGTGCACTTGCAAGGAGAGGATTATTTGATATAATAATAGTTTTTTGTATAAAAATTCAGTAATGTTTTATTGTTTTATTTATAGAAATCTTTTATTTCAGAAATGCCTACAAAATTCATAAGAAAGGATAATTCTTGTCGAGGTCAATAGACTGAGCAACAATTAACATAGGCAGTTAATGCAGTAAATACTAAACAAATGGGAATGAATAAAGCTACAAGTAAATATAATATTCCAGCTTCTACATTACGTAAAAGAATATCAAACTATGATTATAAAAAGCATACTTTGGGACCATCTTCTACTCTGGGATTGCAACCTCTTGACAGAGCGCTTTTTAAATTATTAGAATTAAATTACCAATTTGCTTGCAATTCGTTCATGAAGAATAACCCAGAAAGAAAAATAACTCGGCTTCAATTTGGGAAATGACTGAAATTTGCTTGGGGAAAGTCTGCTACGGTTAGTAACGCAGTATCCGTTTTTGAATCAACTGGAATTATTGTACCTTTGGATTCTTCTGTAATTCTCGACGATGCTTTTTGTCGATGGAGTACAATGTACCGAAGAAAAAAGAAATTAACCCCCACCTTTCAAGGCTTAATTACAACCTAAAGCTGGTTACAGCAACTCGAGTGATAATCAGCTTGACAAAAGGAGGGAAGTAGATTTGTTACAGAGTACAGAAACTACAAGCAAATATCACTCTGAAGTTTATATGTCGATTAGGACTGTAACCTCTGAAATTACTCCAGGAAAATTGCTTGATGAAATCTCACTTCTACCAAATAAACGCGGAGTAGCTGCAGTCAGAAAGAGAAGCAAACACCTATCAGAGATCCTTACTTCCAAAGAAACCATTGCTAGAAAGCATGCATGTGAATTCCGTTGCAGAATGTTGTGCAGGATGTTTAAAAATATATTCACAAACTTCCAAATCGAACGACTGGCTTCAATGTATGCATTGCAAGAAATGGTTTCACGAATCTTGTAGCAAATACTGTAATTTCTGCGACCTTTGTGGCAAACTTATTTGTTAAACAAGAAGTATCTAACTGGTTATGTGACATAAAAATGAGTTATATGTAACGTAAAAATGAGCAGTTATATTAATTTTTTTAATGCACCATCTCACCTTCTTCATAGAGCCAACTCTCCTCCGTTATGTGGGTGAGATGGCTTTTTTCATACTTATATTTTTTAACATAAACAAATATATTTAAGTTCTGTTTGTATTTCAGAACTGAAATTAGTATCAATAAACTATAATCATTATATGAAGTTTTATTTTACTTCCAAATTTCATTAAAAACACATCCATTCTAAAAAAAGTGGGCCATCTCTCCTCGAATTACCTTACCATTATAACCCTCGAATAAAAACTACAATTTTATTCCCGACTGTCTGTAAACATTTGCAAGAACACTAACTTTTAGACAGCATAGTTGCCAAAATTTTTTTTATGCATCAAGTGATCATTTGGAATTAATGCCGTACATTTTTTCCTCACCCCTGCACCAGCTGATGTAAACAGCTCTACAAAAAGTAATCTAAATAACGATCCTAAACTATGTGTATGAATGCCGTACTGGTGCCAATATTAGGTTGCAGGTCATTATTTTTGTATTATCTACATAAATTATAAATCCCGTACAAATATGTTTGATGAAAATGCCCCCCTCTTGAGTGGTCAGTTTACCTTACAGTACTTGTCTGTACCTTACAGTACTGGTCAGTTTACCTTACACCTCACGATAACAATTCATGGCATAGTGTTTTAAATTGTGGCATTACATATTGTAGTATTAATTTATATGTGATTCATGCTTGGTCCCTGTTTGAATAATGGAATATTGATTTAACTTCTTCTTAAGGTGCATTCTCTATTACTGAAGGTTGGCTATAACTACAGCAAATTGCTATCTATTTTGAGCGTCCATGTGTGTCCATGCCTGTCCATTCTCTTACATTCTTTAGGAGCATTTTCTTTTTTCTGGGCCTCTTCTTTCTTCCATTTTCCCTTCCGTTATAAGTCGTAAGAAGTTGTATTTTTCTTTTCCGTAAATATGTCCTAGATAACTTGTTTTTCTGTTATTTACAATATTTAGGAGTTCTCTCTTAGTACCCATTCTTCTTAGCACTTCGTTATTGGTCATGTGCTCTGTCAAAGAGATCTTCAGCATCCTTCGAAGAACCTACATGTCAAAGGATTCTATACGCCTCTTACTTGTAATTTCGAGAGTCCTTGTTTCCACTGCGTATAGCAATAGGGAATAAATAAACGTTTTTACAAATTGGTATTGGATATCCAGCGGTAACGTAGAGTTTATTAGGAATTTTTTCATTCGTTGAAATGCGGACCTAGCATATTCTACACAAGCAAGTATTTCGACCTCGTGGTCAAGATCGTTTATTATCCAGCAACCAAGATACTGGAATCTTTGTACTGGTTCTATATGTTTGTTATATATACGAATATTAATGTCGACATTTGGTGCTCGTGTAACAGCTATTACTTTTGTTTTATTTGTATTTGCATTTAGTCCCAAGCTACTTTCCTCTTTGGTTATGACATTGTAATGTAAACATAGCAAGAAAATAAAGAATTAAAATAAGGGATAGTAGCATAGGGAAGAATAATACTTATTTAAATAATTATTACATATTCCAAATTAATAACTCGACCGTCAGTTATAACCAATAAAGAAAGAATCTTTATTGGTTATAAATGACAGCGTGTTAACTTAATTGTAGCATATAGTCTATTCAATACATTTGTAGACTAGAAATTTGGTTTCAATGTTCCTTCCCGGCCGTTTCAGACATAGACTAGAAGAGTACACAATTTCTGCTTATGCATTTTTCCGGCTTCTAAAGTAAGCCCATATACTGAAACTCTTTGTAGGACCTAGACCTAGAAGTCCTTAACCCTTTTCCCAGATTTCCCTACCTTCTCATAAATCCACGAAAGCGAACCAGCTAGTTCAGACTAGTGTGACCAGTAAGCCTTGCCTCCGCTCGCAGGGATAAGCATCCTTAAGATTTAACCCGAGGATGTTACAGGGGTTACAGCGGACAGCCCCGCTACTTGTACAGTGGTAACAGCGTTGTACAGTGGTGAAGATTTTTCCACCCTCTAGCCACAGATATTACAACATTCAAAAGTCGTTATAAACCTTCAGCACTGTTCGCAATAATGACGGTGTCGTGATTGATTTATCACAAATTCAAAATATAATGTAAATGTCCCACTAGCCGTATAACCTGAGTTTTTTCAAATTTCCACCGGAGATTTGTTTATGAACAATAAGAAATTTAAAAATAACCATTTGAAAGATTAAAAGTTTAGATAAAAAAGAAGATTCCGTTAAAAATGATCCGTTCATATTGCGCCACAGATAAAGGATCTAAACTCTAAGCGATTTTACATTTCAAAACCTGAAATCATAATTTCAAATTTATAAAGGTCGCATCATCTTTGGTTCTAATTAACAAAAGTTTTTTTATTTGGGGTACATTGTGGCATAAATTGCATTAGGATAACACATTTCTTTAAAAATGAAACTGCAACTATATCGTTACCAAAAACGCTTAAAAATGGTTATGGTATATTCTGTTGTGTTCTTTCATCGAGAAAGAAGGAAAATAAAACAAAACCAGAATTTTTTTTGTAATTTTCTTACCAGATGATCTCTTCTATAGTGTATTTTTATGTATGAGAGAGTAATAAAACAATAAATTATGTATGCAAATCCCTAAACTGTTGATACGGGTGACTCAATGAAAAACAGATATTTGTCAACAAGTTTACAGAAGTATATAGGAAAACAAATTTAAATTGAGTATGACCACCAGGTATAAAGGTTGGATGAGAATAGAATACAATAGTTGTGAGGGTTACTAATCCCTAAATAAGGTTGCCAGTGTCGGAGTGATGGAGGTTAACAGGTACTAATGAATTTGCAAGTAATGTAAGATGTTTATTTTATTGGTTATATATAACCAATAAAAGTTTAATAAGTACCTACCTATTTGCAAAATAAAGTTTAATTCTTTAGATAAAATAAAACGTTTTATTTTATCTGAAATAAGTGCATTCCACTAAGTAAGGGTTTCAACAATCAAACATTTAATTCTTTAATTCCAGGAATCTACGACAGCTTAAATATTTGACGTAAGTGAATCATTGTTAAATTAAAATTAGTTATAAGTAGTTAAAAAAAAATAACAGTATTACAAAACGAAAATAATAATCCTTCAAATCCTTAATTAAACTGAAATTTTATACGTAACATACCACCCACTTATTTATTTTTACCAATTTTATCAATTTTCACCAATTTAGTTTTTATTGTAATTCATTTTATATGTACAACTTACCAGATAATTTGCCATTTCAACTGTGTTTCCCGTAAAGTAAAACTTCCTGAGCTTCTCTTTAATCAACTCCCTCTTAGGGTCATTATTTCCTATCGCCATATGTGGGTGTACGTACTTGTCGAGATTGAAATAATCTGGTTTTAGTCCTTGTTTTGTTTCTCTTTGTTGATAGATTCCATATAATATTCCCTCCATAGTATTATAACCGATCATTAATGGAACCTTGTTATACTGACCCTTAACTATTAGATCTTGGGATAAAGATGTTATAAAAGCTGATTCGTTGGGCTTTTCTATTTTAGGAGCTATTTTAAGTTGTCTTCCATATTTCTATATAAAACAAAAAGTAAATATAAATGTTGATATTTGGTTTAAGATATTATTTTAAATTGTTAATTGTTTGTGTTCTAATTAAAAAATCTAAAAATGCAAAAATTCCAAGTTACTTAAAAAATAATAAATGAAGAACAAACCTATTAAACACATTAAATCAATTTTATATTATTATACAACTACTTTAATAACCTATTAAAAGCACGATGCAATATTATTTGTAAAATTGTCTCCCACAGCTGTTAATAGTAATAGTGGTATAAGAACCTGAATGATAAAAATATTTTCTAGCAGCACTTATTAGTAATCCAAATTCCTAAACCATAAAAATATTTTCATTATTTTACAGCATTTCTTATTTTTTTTTGTCATTTGACTTTTTATAAAAACTGTCAGAAATATTAAAGTAGATATCTGTATTGTTTACGGTTAGCAAACGGTAAGTTTACATTAAAACTATTCAAGCAATTTATTATTCGCAACCTTTTTCACAAAATGCATTTAACTGAAAGTGATAGGATTGAAATATTAATGATGATTGGTATCGGCCATAAGATGCGGATCTAACAAGAAGTATATTGATTTTTGCATGAAAGGCATCCAGATCGTGTACCCATTTCACAATCTAGGTTAAGCAGAATAGAGCAAAAATACAAATAATTAGGCCATGTGATGTGAGGGATGCAGCAAAGCATATTAGGCCAAAAATTAATGAAAATATTCAACAAGATATAATTTTGATGGCAATACAGTGATCCACACTGTACAGTGCTAGAATTATATAGAGATCTAAATGTTAGAAGACGACTTTGATCAAAGAACTGAATTCTTCGAGTACATAATGAACCAATCTAACAACTTCATTAATAACGTTTTATTTTTGAAAAGGGCAACGTATCATTTTAAACGGTCATGCTAACCGACCAAACACCTGATGAACTTTCTGATAAAAATCCATACTGGATGCAAGTGTCCCATATTAAAAGACCACAAAAAACGAACGTATGGGCTGGTATTGTCAGAAATACAATAATTGGTTCATTTTTTTTTTATGAAATTTGCAACGTTATAAACATCACATCTCTATTAGTTTATATTTAAATAATTATTTCATTTTAATTTCTTTATTAATTTTTTAATTTGTTTATCTTCAGTTAATTTTTACTATCTTTTTTATTTAAAAAGTAGTTGGCGCCCTCTCTGTCCCTCTATATTTCTTCCTCTCATTATTTCCTCTCTCCTTCTGTCACGTAGAATAAATACTCGCCCTCTCTCTTTGTGTTCTGTGTTGACAGACAAGTTAGTTTTGTAAAATAGCAACATCCTATGACATCTGTGCTAACTTCAAGTAGTTTACCACTTTCTGTCAAAACAACTTCTAACGTGGTGGAATTATTTTTTGTCTGATTTTGACTTTATAAAAAAAGGCAAAATTTATAATTAGACTCATTTTATGGTCTACTAATTCTCTTGGGTTTATTGGAAATATCGAGAATATACCATTTTATTGGAAATATCGGGAATATACCCTTTCCAAGCAATTACCCAATTGCCCAATATATATAATACCAAGGACCACGTGTAACTGCAGTTCTCCAACCAACAACATTCCATTGGAGGACCTAGCAGCTAGGACACACAAGTAGCCATCGAACAAAGCAATAAGTACTGCATTAATTGTTAAGCTTTGGCAGGGTCTATTATTGCGTTTTTTATTAAATAAATATGTTTGGTTAGAATTTGTTTTATTTGCTATCAACTGAGAACTCAGGTTCAATCCCTATTTTAAGACAAGACGAACTCACCCTTTAGATACTGAGCTAGGCAAGGTATAGATGATAAGCTCCCAAGGTTGATTGAAGTATTATTTTCACACAATATTACTTCAATTCTCTTTGGTAGTCTTGTCGTTACAAATTTTAACAGAAGCATTATATCTACATTTCCTACATAATACATTAATTACTGATCTGGTCTAGCTTTTCCCTGATATACAAATACTAACTAATTTACACCACAGAATCGGGTTTCAACAAGATGGTGCACCGCCACATTTCGCAGTGACTGTGTGCGAATTTTTAAACAAAACTTTTCCACAACGGTGGATAGGAAGAAGTAGATCAGTCGAATGCTCCCCTAGATCACATGATTTGAACCCAGTAGATTTCCTTCTATGGTGTTATTTAAAATTCTAAGTCAAAACAAACATACCTGATAATATCGGTTAACTACAAGACCGAATCAGACAAGAAATAAAGAACATAACAACCGCTATGCTACAAAATGTTAAAAACGAAAGTAATAACCACTTTGGTCATGGTCTAACGATCAATGGAGAATAATTTAAATATTTACTGTAAATTTTCGTTTGTTCATTTTTGTCAGTGAATCACAGTAATTGTATAATAGTAAAGTAGTTGTATAACAACTACTTTACTATTATGTAATTTAATGTAATGTGTTTATTACGTTTATCCTTAATTTAGTATTTAGTAGGTAACTTGAAATTTTTTATTATATAAAAAATTAAAAAATTTTTAAATATATTTATTTCCCACCTACCCGCCGGCTAGGCCGGCGGGTAGGTGAGAAATAAAATACCACCCGCGGACCAACAGGTGGGGTAGATAGGACTCCTAAGCCGTAGAGAAGGCAACTTATCTAAGAGAAGGATACTCTGATTTAAAACCTTGGTCCTCCAAGTTGGGGGTTGAGGCATCGGGCCAACTCCTCGATACTCGGAAAAAATGATCAAAGTTAAAAATTTCAGCCAAAAGCCTTGGAATTCGGATGGATTAAACTATAAACGAAATTCGCAAAGAAAATGGATTATGAATTTGGGTGCTTGGAACATACAAGGAATAAGGACAAAACAGGAGGAGGTCTTCCGTGAACTGAGTAAAATGAAAATAGACATCTGTGTATTAACTGAAGTAAAGAAAAAAGGAAGAGGAAATGAAAAGATAAACGGATACCTGCATTTCTATAGTGGCGTAGAAAAGAGCGAACGAGCTAAAAGAGGAGTGTCTATAGCAATACATCAGAAACTGAAAAAATGTATTAAATCATGGCAAGAAATAGATGAAAGAATTATCCTCATGGAAATTAAGAAAAATGGACATGAAATAGTGGTAATTGGAACATATGCACCGACGGATGACTCAAGGGTTGACAGCAAGGAAGAGTACTTTAACAAGTTAACAACTGTTCTAGCCACAATTAATAAGAAGAAAGAAATTTGGATCTTAGGTGATCTTAACGCAAGAACCGGAAAGAGCTCCAACAGTGAAATAATAGGGAGATATGGAGAAGACATTCTGAACGACAATGGTCAAAGATTAATAGATTTTTGCGAGGCACATTATTTGAAAATATTAAATGGTTTCTTCCCCCATAAGAATATACATAAATTTACATGGACGCAGCCTACCAGGAATTTAAAATCAATAATTGACTATTTCATTCATCGTAAAGATTCTAAACTAAAAACGAAGGACGTGAAGGTGTTTAGAGGGCCAGAATGTGGAAGTGACCACCATATGATTATTGCAAAAGTAATGGTGACATTTAAGAGAGAACAATCAAGTCACAAAAATGATGAAGTAACAGACATAGGAACAACCATAGAAAACATAAAATATAACCTGGAAAGCTTTAAACAAGATTCGACAAAGTTCTTATATAAAATTAGAATAGCTCAGAAAATAAAAAATATAGAAACAAAGGACTTAGACCCCGAAAGTCTGTATGAGGTAATTAAAAAATATATTCATGAAGCGGCAAATGAAGCACTGGGAAAAGTTGAAAATCGGAAAAAAGGAAAACATGAATGGTTGTCAACGGAACTAGAAGAGAAAGTTCTCAAGAAAAAACAAGCATATCACATATGGCTTCAATCCAAAGATCGTCAAGACAGAGAAATATACGCTAAATGGAATAGAGAAGTTAAAAAAGACGTGGATAAGGCGAAAAATATAAACTGGGAGGCTAAGTGTGATGAACTGGACAGATTTATGGGTGGAACAAAAGTGGCGCAAGCTTGGAAAACATTAAAACAGTTTAGGAAAAATGAGAAAAATTAAGACAACATTTCTCTCATAAAGTTAAATGAATGAGAAGAATATTATACGAAACTGCTGAAAGAGGATAGAGTAGAGTACAGATAGGAAAAGATAAGGGAATTAATAGACAACAGAGACGAAAGACAGGAAATCCCTATAATAACATTATCTGAATTGACGGAAACCTTAAAAGAGGTTAAAAACGGAAAAGCCGCAGGGCCTGGAGACATTCCCATAGAGCTGGTTAAATATGGGCCGACTGCACTTTTAGAATTAATAGTAGACCTTTTCAATAAATGTATGTGTGGAGACCAGGAAATTCCTAAAGATTGGAATAAATCTTATATAAGCTCCATATATAAGAAAGGGAATAAAAGAGACTGTTCCAATTATAGAGGTATTAGTGTGACGAGCTGTGTGGGCCGGTTGTACGGCAGAATATTAAAGAAGAGGGTTGAAAGACAGATACAAGATATTGAAGAACAAAGCGGCTTTCGTACCGGGAGATCCTGCCTTGATAATATATTTATCCTACGACAAATAATTGAAAAGCGTGTCGAAAGAAGTAGAGAGACCCATTTGGTATTTATAGACCTTGAGAAAGCATATGATAGTGTCCCGTTAAAGAAAATGTTTGAGGTCCTCAAAAGGTCCGGATTGGATTCGACGTATATCCGAGCGATATATAAATTGTACGAAAATGCAGTTAGCTGTGTAAAAATTGGAACCAGAACCTCAAATGAATTTAATGTCACTAAAGGCCTAAAGCAAGGATGCTGTTTGTCACCGACACTCTTTAAAATATACGTCCAAGAAGCATTGAGGAATTGGGGAAATAAATGTAGATTTATGGGCATCGAAGTGGGACAAGAAACTCTGTATACATTGTTGTTTGCAGATGATCAGGTGGTGGTTGCAACCGATGAGGAAGATATA